GTTCAATAAACGTCTCTATTACAACTAATGTACAACTCCTTATCGATAAGGAAGATATTCCTATAATAAAACCAACTGTACATCTTCTTGGAAAGACTTTGGGGTATGCAGAATTAACAGAAAGTGGATATACTTTACAAATACAAGTAAAGCCATATTTATATATCTAAGGATCAATTTACTCCATTTACTGTAAATTTAACTCACCCACCAAATGGGCGATTTAAGAACGCGTTAACAAAAGCCAGAAAAAATTCAACAGTTCATACAACAGGAGTATTTTTTTTTGCAAAAGATCAATTATACTGTGAAATTTTGGAATTTCAGTTTGTATCGGCAAAAATAGAATCAGATAACAGTATTGTAGTTCCATGGAAATCAAAATCTGATTCACGTAATGAAGGATCTTGAAATATCTGCTATTTTAGTCATATTTGTTTTACGTTTATTTTTAGTTGGTGTCATTGACAATGATGGTTGTGTTGTTGAATTCTGTTGTATGAGAGAAATTCTTTGTTCTATAACAGATTTTGAAGATCTTTGCTATTACAAAATCAATAAAGTGATGAAATTCATGATATTAAAACTTCTATTACAAATGAAGAAAATGAAGAAAGAATTAATGAAAAGATTGAAGAAAATGAAGAAAGAAATGAAAATATTGAAGAAAATGAAGAGAGAAACGAAAATATTAAAAAAAAAAATAATACACCAAAATTTCAAATTCAACAAGAGGTAGAAAAAAACAAAAAACTAAATAATGTTTATGAACTAACGTAACCCAGTAATAATCTTTTCTTTGATTTTTTTATTATCTGTTCTTTATATTTTATATGTAATAAGTGCTATATTTATTTTTTTTAATGAAATAAAAAACGTATTTTATTTTTTATGTCAAAGAAAAGTGGTTTAAAAAAAAATTTGAAGTCTACGTAAAATTTAATTGCTGATCATGTTACACATGTCATAGATCACCTGACAAATACGAACTGTCTTTAAAATTCATTTTTATTATCTGGTATTTTTTATATCTTATATGTAATAAACATTATATTTATTTATTTTTTATTAAAAAAAAATTGAAGTTATTGTAAAATTTAATTGTTGATCCTTAATAATAATATTACAAATATATGTTATAGATCACTGATCATATATATACGAACTATTAAAACTTTCATAATAATTTGATTACTAATTACTAACATTAAATCAATAAAACTGAATCAGATGTCCTAAATGGGATCAAATTCAAACAATGAATTTAAATAGAGATGCATTCAAAGTAGATCCAAATGTGATTAAAGAATATTCTCGCTTGGAACAAGTAGCATCACAACCGCTTCCTATTTCATAAACAAACCTAGATTATCATGTTATCAGTTATCATATAAGTATAATAAAGCAATTAGGGGTTCTTTAAAAAAAGTGTTTATTTGACTATGCATTTATTCTCATGTTACACCTAATTTTATTTTGAAGGCCGCCGCCAGGCGGCCATAGTGGTACAGTTCTAGTTAAATTGTAAATAAAATATATATATTAGCGCTATTTAATAAGGAAAATCATCATACTATAAAATTGGCTATTGACGCTATTAAAAAAAATATCCCATGTGATAACGAGTTCTGTGAACACAAGTGGTACTATAAAAATCTTTTATCTGGAAACGGATTTCAACGAGTTCGTGAATGTCAAAACAATAATTGGAAGCCATATATCTTAATTGATAAGCATAGACCATCTAAACTTGCTATCCAAAATGCTTCACATAAACAAATTTTATGTTGGTTTCATATTATGAAAACTTTTAGTGAAAATTTAAATAAATGGCAGATACCTGCAAAATTCAGGTAAGTTATATATTATATTAATTTTTTTTTATTAAAATTGATAACTAAATTAATTATTTTATTGTTTAGATATCCAATAGCATTAGCGTTTAAAATTGTAGGTCGTAGTTGAACTGAAGAAACTGCCATTGAAATGGCTAAGAAATATATTGAATTTATTAACACTCTTCCGTTGGAAAAAACCAAGAAAGATAAATTAATAGATGATTTATCTAAAAATTGGATGTGCACAGAGTGGTGATTAAGTTTTATTGATGCTGGTCGTATTTCCAAAAATATTACAAACAGATTTCCATGGACTACAAACAATTTTACAGAACGGATCAATAGGACAATTGAAGCAGTATATAGTGGTAAACAAACACCATTGACATTTTTTGAACGAATGTATGGAATAAATTTTCAAAGTGAAACTATTGTAAGTCATGAAGATTTAAATAAGTTTGAATCTGGTTTAGTTACTTTATTCAATACTCAAATGATTGAACAGGTAAGAATTTTTTCGTTATCATTTTTAATTAATATTATTAAATTAATTTATTTTAAATTATTTATAGCAAACTAAAGATGATATATGTTGTGATAAACTTCGAAGATTAAATCAAGGAAGATTAGATTTTCTTCTTAATATGGTTAATATATTATCAGACCAAAATACTTTTCTTGTCAAAAAAAAATCTGATGATTTATTTGTATCTTTTTATGATGATAAGCCTTTATTTCTAGATGAGGAAATTGTACGAAAATTAAATGATATGGTCAATTTTCTTATGAAATCTTTATTATCCGAAAATATAATATTAGAACAAGGATTTCATATATGTAATGTTATTACTGGTGAATGTACATGCTGGGAATACATATGGAATAGTTCATTACGTGATAAATGTAGGCACTGTCATGCAGCCACTTTGCTTATAGAAACACAACAAAAAGGACATCTAGAAGTTGTAAACAAAGCAAAGAAAAACTTGTTCATTATTTTCGTAATAAGGAACGAGTAGTTCCCGCGTCTATAAAAAATAATGTAATATATCAAGGTGACATGGAAGATTCTTATCAAGAAATTATTAGATTATATAATATGCAAGGTAAGATGTTTTAAATAATTTTTTTAAAAATTATTATTGTTATTTATTATATTAATCTTACTTTTGCTCATTAGGTAATAAAATATTTTATCTACTTAAACTGTCATCTCAGGAGATTAAAGATCCATTTCGGCCAGCAGAATTAAGTGAAAGAACAAAATCAAATTTAGGCGCACCTCCTAAATTATCTGCTAAACCTCAATCATCCCATAGAATAAATTTATTACCAAACCAATCACAATCTGGTAATACGTTTTCTATACAACAAAGGAAAACAAAACAAATTCGAAATCTTAAACGAAAACGAGAAGATAATTTATCTTCAATTAGTACTGGTAAAGATATAGATTTAACATAATAATATTAATATCTGTATTATTAATTTCTTTACCTATATTTATTTAATAGATAGAAGAAGTACATCTTCATTTGCATCATCATCATCGTTTATAATGCCAAGCCCACCCCGCAATGTATTTCAACATCTTCCAGAACTGCCATCTAATGATGATTTAAACTTGGATTTAGAATTGGATTTAGTACCTAATTCTCACAATTTATGCCCCTATTGTGATAATATCCTACCAGATACTTTACCAGAAAAAATAAAAGACCAGTTACAAAATCTACAAAACAAGTCAATCACATAAGAAGAACGTTGGTCTTTTTGTATAATGCATCATGGTGAATTGAATATTGTTCCACATGGATTATCAAAAGGATATCCTGAATATATCGATTTTAATGTACTTCCATCACGCATAATCAAATTTGAAAAAGATCTCATTGAAATTATTAACGGAAATATTTCAAGTTACTATTGGGATATTGCATCTTCAATATATAAAGAAGTTGGATATAATAAAGCCAAGGCGCCAATGATGCTCATGAACCGATTTGAAGTTTTTCAGGTTGGTAATTATCTGTTTGAATATAAATTTTGTTTATATTTTATTAATTAGTTTTACTAATTTACAGCCAGGTTATTATGGATTTAATGGGTTATATACTATTGTTAATACTTTAATAGATTTGTTTGTTAACTCTAATAATCTTACAAAAGACCAAACGTACCCATTAGACCCTATGGATTTTATTTACGAAGTTCTAGTACCAGAAGTAACATTACGTCTGATTTAGGAGGGCCGTAATAATAGTATAACACTTGAAGATGCGAAAGAAATTTTAAATGATAGTATTGAATTTGGAGTTTATATGCATAGCAAAGAAATAGATGATTGATTAATACTATTGTCTTTTAGTTGTAATAAAGACAAATTTTGAGAAAATAAAGATTAAATTTATGACATATGAATGTTGGCAATTCTTTGTTTTAAATGGCTTAATAAAAATATACAAGAAGCAGTAAATAGTAAGGAAACAAAAATAACGATTAATAAGATTAATAATTTGAAATTATTTAGTGGGTTATTAAAAATAAAGTCTCCGATGTGCAAACGCAAGATACAGTATGTCGAATCTATGCATGTGACCATGTGATACTATCGAATAATCAAAATGATACATTTTTTTTCAATAATCAAAAATGATAGAATTTTTTTTTCAATAATCAAAAACGACAGAATTTTTTTTCAATAATCAAAAATGATACATTTATTTTTTCAATAATCAAAAACGATACAACAGTTTGTACAACTAACTTCTATAATCAAAAAGCATCACCTCCTTAATCAAAAATGATATATTTGCGTAATAAATTAATAAATAAATATTAAATTTTATAATTCAAAAAAATGTTTAATATATTATAACGTTCTATGTCAATAAAAAAGAATATTTTACAAGGACAGCAAAATATAACAAATGTTTTACTAATAATATTATATAATTTAAATTTGTTTACTTCTTCTTTAAAAAAAAAACAATTTCATCTTCATCAGTGTCTAATTCTAAAATAGCCTATATTTCTTCCATTTGGAAATTATAAATAAAGGAAATTTATTTGACATGATCATGAATCCCTTTTTTGCTATTAAATTCAGCTTTACTCTTTTAAAAATTGATTTTTATTTGCATAATTTGTTATAAATATTTAACCCTTTCCTTATTCATAATATTTTTTTTTTTATATAAAATAAAATATTAATATTTTCATCTTCATCCACCACTATATTTTTAATTAATAATTTCTTAATAAAAGTATTTTGTGAATTTTTAAAAATATTTCCAGATCATTTGTATTAAATAAAAGAGTTAAACATAAATATTCTAAGAACCTGTCATAAATTTTGTAATATAGTTGAACTTAAATTCATTATAAACAGATCATAATTCAGGATTGTAATTAAAAGTTACTATTATGGTATAAAGACAACAATACAGTTAAAATTCGGAAATTCAAAACAAAACTTTTGAAATAAAAGAAGAAAAATTAGAAATAGATGAGCACAAAAATTTTTCTCATTTTTATTGGATATTAATCATATAGATTGGTTCCGGTCTGGACCGGTCCTCAGATCTCATGAAGACTGGTACAAAGATCGACACTAGACTGGTTTTTAGGAAATGGAAACCATTATAAAGTCCGATAAGGTTTTATTGTTGTACATCGTCACGATGTCATGTGCTGGATAATCGTTCACCAACATCCATATTGTGGTTCTGCATCTGAACCAATAATGAATTAGATTATAATAAAAAAAAAAATATTTTCTTTAAAGAGATGATTTATTTACCTGCTAAAGGCAAAAAACCAACAATAACTAAACATTTAATTGCATGATTAATTTTGTGTGTCATATATAATTTTTAATTCGTTATTTGTTGTTAGTAATTTTTACTCTTCCTTTTCAAGGTGTTTATATAAGAAAATTTTTTTTATAGCAACACGTAATTAATGAGGGCGAAGTAAAGGAGGTATACAAGCCACTTTCTTCCGTGTTAAGATTCAAAGCCACTTTAAATTAATAATTTGAAAATGTGAGATTTTGATGTCAATAAATATTTTGAACGGCAGTAAATGCTGCAGTCATCTGTACATTGCGCCACAATTGTAACGAACAATGCAATATTAAACCCTAATCGTATGATATCAAATGAACAAAGCCATAAAATTTGTTTATTGTAAAGGGATCAAGAAAGTATTCTTCATTTTATGTAATGGATGTTTTTAACTGATTTTGAATAATTATCTTTATAATATTACCCTTAGGGCAATGACAGATATTACCTAATATCAGTTTATTATAAGAGCTTACCCCCCCTCCCCCAGGTAAGATATATTATATATGTAATTTCCTTATATTGTATATATGTAACCTAAGATTTTCAATTACCCCCCCTCCCCCTAGAATATTAGGTAATATCTGTCACTGCCCTTACTTAAAAACAATTTTAGGTCATATCACTGCATAAAAATTTGACACCAAGAATAGGAATATTGAATATATGAAAGTAATAATTAAACAGCAAGCTTAGTTTTTAAAAAATCTTAATTGGGTATAGTTATTTTTTTTTTTTACAAAATAATTCAATTTTTAGTTACAAATGGAACCTTTATCTAATAATGCTAATATTGTTTTTATTGGTCGTCACAATATTTATAATAGCTGAACAAATATCAACACATTTTAAAATGTAGCTTAAATATAAATTTAAGATTTCTATTCTAATAATAATATAAAAACTATTATAAAATATTAACAGATAAAAACAGATAAGCCGAAATTGCTGCATACATGTACGTAACAGATATTTGATGATAAGAAATTCAGTACCACATATTTTACATGTATTTTAAGCCTATTATTCCAAGCCTACTTAAGCCACTTAAGCCTTAACAGGAACTTACAGTCTTACACACATATTACTGAATACTCGCAGCACAGTATTTAGATAGGATAATAATAATATTGGTAAATAAATATTAGAAGCTTGACCGTATCACAGTATCACACGTATACTGTACATATATCAGTTATTAGATAAACGGAAAAAACGGAAATCATGTTTTGGGATTAGTGATAAGCCTGTTTTTAAGCCTTAATTAACCTGCTTATTAGAATTAGTGGCTGCAGAAGTCCTCTCGGGATTTTTAATTATAATTATACTAATATGTTTTAACTTGGTTTTACCTGACACAACTAAACTTAATTTATTATATAAATACAGTAGTTCAGAAAATTTGTGTTTCAATTATGATTTTCTTTTTTCTCTTTTTTCTTTTCCTCATTTTTTTTATTTTATTTTCAATACAATAAAGTATAACTGATATAGATGAATTAAGAACAAAAAAAGCCAAATGATGGATATATTTTTGATAGTAAAATGTACTATTTATGAAGAGTATGGCTGAAGTTGCTTATAATACCCTTGTCTGAATTTGACAAACAGTTTATACCTCTGACAGATGTTTCAACCTTTGTGTTAGACATTATTTTGTTTCAGATGACAATAGAAAAGACACATGTAATAAAGCTAAATGCAATTAGAATGTGAATGTTCTTCATTAATTCCTTGTGAAATTATAAACCATTATTTAGTACAGAAATGAAACAATTCTTCGATATTCATTACAAATTGGTTCAGATTAAAACAATTACCTGCCGATTAAAATTTAGCAAACATTTACCAATACCAAACCCTAAACTATGGTATTGCAATAATTGAACTTAAATTTATATAATATAACAAAATTTATTTAATAAGTAAATTAAAATCTTTTATATTTTCATTTAATTTTATAATCAATATAAGAAGAAAAGTCTGAAACTTATGGTCAAAGATATAGGCATATATTAGTCAATGAAAGACAAAGAACATTTATAAAATTAAATATATGAGAAATGTTGCAGGTTTTGTTAGTATAGAACACAGATCACAAAATGAACATCCTGACAATTACAATTGTTAGCTATCATCACTATCATAACTAAACTAAAATATGGGAGCTTATATTTTTTTATAATTTTACTTCATACAATACATTACTCTATCTACTTGATAATGAAGCTCATCCTGAATTTAGGGCAGCAGAGTGGGTGATTTTTTTAAAAAAAATTTTATAATAATTCACAAGACAGTGAAAGGTGGAGTTTTCATTTAAAAAAAAAAAATATTTGATAATAAGGTATAGATAGTTAGATACTCAAGAGTTTTTATATAATTAAATAGTAAAATGTCAAAGTATTCTTAATAACAAACAGATAAAAAATATGTTTATATCATTTAATAAGTAACATTAC